TTTCTTACACATTAGTATCGCTATAACTAACACGAGATTTTGTTGTGTCGACAACTGAACACTTGTATTAATATACAATTTTGATATAGGTTTTTTTTTTGTATAGTTTATAGAACTGAAAAAAATTAAATATACTAAAATTTCTCAAAATTAGAGTGTTCTTAGAGAAAGATATCTTTCACATTATTAACTCTTGTGAACTTAGAATCCGATAATTTTTAAATGGCTTATATATTATACAATTACATTAAAATGCTTTTAATATTTAATTAAAAATTTGAAATATTAAACTCTTCTAGATTTCAAGCCTTTTATTCGTCAATCAAATTTATCGTCATGTTTGTTCTCGATGTATGCAAAATTTTCTTAGAATCGGAAAACGACAGGAGTTATATGAATGTCTGCATCTCCGACACTTTTCATATCGTTTTTACTATTGGACGCTTCCTTCGTGCTAGTTTCGTTGCACCTGTTGCACGTCGCGCCGTTTGGTTCCAACAGACTCCGTTATTGGTGTCAACGAGTCGTTAACCGATAATATTCTGTACACTGAAAAATATGTGCGGCACCTTATTGCGATTGGCCGATAGAAAAATTAATTACTTTTAAAATAAATTATTAAGACTTCCAGACTAAGTAAGATGGTATTTATGGCACTGGAAAATTCGCCAAAATTGTATAGAAATTGGAATGTCTTATTGAAGTTTGCAAGGTGAATCGTTATTTCTCATAGATCCTTATTCAGACATGCGAATGTCAACAGCGAAATTCTCCGGACGCGTTAGTATATCTGGGCGAAGTTAGCGATACTCATTGTTGGACAGGCTGATTGCAGCGAGTTGCGGAGCGGTAGACACACGGATAGAGCTGTACGCTGTAATCATAGGAGTAGGTCGCGAAGACATTAACTCGCGCTGGTGCATCGCGTTGGCAGACCGCGTCGACCCACTTCCCTTCCTTTCATGCTTTCTTCCTTAAGGCAAAGCCGAAGGCACTAACGAAGGCTCGGATGAATTTCATAAGCCACGAGAAGTCCGCGAAGACTCTATTACGCTTCACGACCTTCCTCTCCTTCTTTTTTCCTTTTTTGCTTTTTTTTTAGTCATCGCGCTCGTCCTCGCACTGGGTCGCTAATTTTCGCGACGCCGCTATCTTGTTTTTATCTTTTTCTTTTTATCCGCATGCAGTATATGCATGTACATACATACAGTCTCTTATACAGTTGTTAGAAAGCGTACAGAAGCCTCGTTTGATCCTTTTACGTATTTACTTTTTTTCTACATAGATACCTTGGCGATCGAAATTACGTAAATTAATTCCGCGAACGTTCCTCGTAATTACGGGGCTAATTTAATCGCGAGTATGGCGATACCGTTTATTTCAAGAAAATGTAAACGTGAAACTAGTGCAATTATAACGAAAAAGTAACGCAATTTTAATAATAGCAATCTGTATGTGTTAATTATTATTTGCAATACTGTAGCAACATTATAAAAGTAATGATGAATAAAATCAAATTTAGAGCAACATAAAATTTTAAGTACGTATGTATGTGAAATTGTAGCATAGAAAAACGACGAGAAGGAAATTTTAATTAATAATGGGTAGTTAAGTATTTCAATCCTAAAAAAAAAAATAAATTCTTGCTAATGGTAATAATAATTAAATGTTAAAGTGAGTCAATCAGCAGAGTATCGATTTGTTAATTCGTAGCGTCGAATAAGCTATTCGTCGCTATGGCTCGTTTCCTACAGTCTCGGTTAGGTAAATGACGGTAAACCGTAAATACTCGCAGCATCGTCTAAGTTGGACCAAGGAGAGCGGATGAGGGGAATCAGCAGCCTCTTGAGCTAGTATCCGTTAACTCGAGTCAATTACTACAACAGAGAACCATGGTTCGTCGTGCACGGGGGTAAAGTGGTCTCTCGGCGTGCTTCAACTTTCAATTAACTATGGCACGACGGCAAACAGACTGGCGATGACAGCTGAGATCCTAAATTCTCTCTTTTATTATCGTATTACCGCTATTGCAGCTAAGCGACATTATTGCATTGTATTGCGTTACAGACGTTGCACATAGCAATAAATCACCTCTTCTTTGTCCAGTGTGATTTACAATCATTGTTATAATAAACATATAGTAGTTTATCATTTTATTAGTGTCTTTAGAGTCACATTTCTATGTCGGATTTCTTGATAATAGACGCGTCAAGTTTTACCGGAGCTAATTGTTTTTAGCCCCATAGATAGACGCAGTTGCATCTTCCTGCTGGCATTGCTTAATATTGATGACCATTGAAGCGCGACGGTTTCAGTAGTTATATTGTGAGCCACCTAATTCCATGCGTCTCGAATAATTGCTCCCCTTGTTCCGATTGGATGTGACTCGATCATTTATTAAGCGGACGCTAATAATTCATTGCGGGTAATTCGGAGCGTTCGCGAACTCGCACGAATTGATGTTTGCATCCTTAATGCATTTCCACGTCGCTCCGGTGCACACCGGCTTAGACGCGATTTGCGCTTTGCGGAAACTCCGTGTAGGTAGTTTACGAAACAGGGGCGCTTCGCGTGGCTCTCCCGTGAAGGCTGCTGCCGCAGCTAGATGTAGGTCGCGCGTTAATGACCAGTGCGTAGCGACGAATTCAATTGAATCGTCGGTTTCGCAAGAAAACGACGGAGGATGCCGCGCGTGCGAGGTTTCGCATAATGCGCGCTATGACACAATCCTACGTATTATGCAGGGACTATAATTTTAAAAAATTCAAGCTTTATGAAAGAGAGCAGTCCACCTAAAATTATCCCGCGGAATAGATGTTGTTTACTCGCTTTCCCTTTTTCTCTCCTTCTCTAGAATTTAATTAAAATTAAATCCTTTAGTTTCACATTCATTTATAATTCAGGAAATCCATCGATGCCTCGACATTTTTATCAGGGAAGGATGTACTGCGGTTCACGCAAAGAATTCCGTGGCTAAAAGAGAACGCGGGGAACGTCTCGTATATCAGCGGCGACGGATTAAGAGCGACGGCTTTAATAAATCCGTGCAATCTCGTCAGAGTGGACGCGACACCTATTGTCCGAAGCGGCACTCGTAATTTAGGGATGGATCAAAGGTGGGTCGGGCGGTTAAGGTTCGCAGAGGACGGATCGGTCAGCAGGTCCCCAGGTGTCAGGTGGTACCCGGTCGCGCTCCAGACGCGCCCGAATCACCAGCGCCCCGGTCAGTCGCCACCATTTCCACATAGGAAGCGACTAATGTCCTCGCTCATTTCCCACGATATATAGGCGGGCCCGCCGCATCGATTCTCGAAGCACCATCCGCCTGCCCGACGCGATATTAATGTTTAACTAGCGCGATCGTGTGTCTGATACATTACCGTTGCTCCCGGGGTTGAAATTGTTGCGCGCTCTGCGCTACACGCCCACGTTCCACGGTGATACACGTTACGCGAGTACGAAACATGCGAATTGCAGAGTTTGTCGAACGCACTGCTGTTATTGCGATACTACCGTGCGTCGAATTGTCCTCTATTGTTGGCTCGGCGCGTGCATAATTAAAACGCAATCTGTTATTCGATATTTTCAAATATTTACAATACACGTACAAATTCTCCGATTTAATACATGACAATCTATGCATCTTAGTTTTAATGAGGATTTGCACGACAAAGATTTTTTTCGTATACGTATAATCATTGAGGAACATATACGATATATTGATTAGATTGACCGTAATCTTATTGAAAAGATACAGACCATAATCTTGTGTTCGTGACGTTATATCGAGCACTTCTCGTTATCGCGACTAGAACGTGTTGCAGGTAGAACGCTACCCCCTGCATCCGTGTGCCGTGGGCAGTCTGTCAAATTACGGGGTAGGTACTTGGAGACAGGCTCCTAATTTCGCCTCTAATAACCGGGGCTAGTCATGAGCGCCCGGAAGCGCTTTGTACTGTCAACCTTGCGAATCTACCAAACAGCGAGCACATTGCGGGGACAACACCGCGTCCACTGTGGACACAAATATTTGTGCGGGAATGTGAAAATTGATTAACGAGAGAATAGAGATTTGTAATTTTATATGCACATTACAAACGTTTCTGGCATTTAAAATATTGCAAAATTCTAAGATTCTACTTTTTTATTCGATTATACGATTTGAAAAAGAAGAAGAGAGGAAAATTTGCAGAATACCAGGGTGAATGAGCCCTCGTACACCGTATTCCAATTTCTACGGCGCGCACTCGTTCTCTGACGAGCTTTTTCCACATTACACAGTGGAGCAACAGATGTTTCCGAACGAGCTGGAGGAAGAGTGATGGCAAGAGGACAAGAGGGAGGAAGAGAAAGAGAGAGTTTTTGGTGTCGTTAAACTGGAGCGCGCGCGGCGCCCTGCGAACTTTCGAGTTGTTGAGAGCGAATATTATTCTTATTTTTATTCACTGAGGACGCGGGCGAAAGCGGAAAATTCTGTCTGCACTTCGCGGTTGTTCGAGAACGAGCGTTTCCCAGTTCGACAGACAGTGACCGAAACTCTCGGCGGAAAGCTCACAGTTTCGTACGAGAACGCTCGCGGTTCTCTCTTCCCAAAATTTCGTTGATTACATAATTCCGCGTATTCGCGAATTGAGAGAACGATAAGCGTGGAATAACAGTGGCGTCTGTGAAAAATATAATTTCTGCTGCTTCACGACCCTTCAAATTTAATGCTGAAATATATTTCACGCTACTGTAAGTGGAAAGTAATCTAGTTACAAAAACGAAACTTTAATTTGCGGTTTTTCGAACTGGAACACTTTCACGTGATATTTCAGTACCACATTAAAAACAGCGATATGCTGGTTGTTAGATTTTACAATTAATCATTGTTATTGCTGACGTTGCACACAGAAAAATGAACGGGAAACCGCGCTAAATCGTCGAAAAAAAAGAAGGAACAAAACGTTTGGAGCGGTAATTAAGAAGCTATTAAGAAGTTATATTTGTTGTGGTTTCAGGTTCGCTGGGCACGTCGGTATTTGACACGGACGTGTATCTCGTCGGAGCGAGCGGGGGCGTTTACGCCCTTCTGGCGGCGCATCTAGCCAACGTCCTTCTGAACTACAACAATATGGAGTTCGGGATAGTTCGGCTCATCGGCATCTTCGTCATCGGTAAGTGGACCCTACTTCCTCGATCGTCGGCTCGCAACCACCGCGGCCAATCCTATCTACCTTCGACCTGCCAGCTCGATATCTCCGGTCGAACTGCTTTCGAGAGCGGTCACGATTGACCATTGGCGCCGACGATAGTAGACATTAATCACACCTTATTCCTCACTAAGGACTAAATATTACAAAGAGATTGTCGGAAGTTAAAGTTACTACAATATACGACTATCATTTGACAAATATATCGTGACATTATTCCGAGTAATGTGGTAGAAAAGATTTTTAAATAATTATTACGAATTCGCGATGTGGATAAAGGAAAATCAATCCTCACATTACCAAAAAAAAAATGAATTTTAAAGGATTATAACGTATTCGTGATGTAGATAAAGGAGGATTAATCCTTTATGAAAAATTGAAGTGAAATAATTAAAAGCTGAGGAGAACAGTTTCTGAAAGGCATCTCATCTTTCCACTAGTCTCTTTGCAAAGTAGTAAAGACTTTGAGAGTCGCGAATTTGCAGACACGTCCTTAAGGATTAAGGTGAAACGTCTCGGACCTACGAACAGAATACACAATCTCAGAACTCGGCGCCTATGGCGACGTAGCGTAATAATAGCGCGATATTGGCAAAGACGTAGAACTCTAGTATCGAGGGCCCGTATAGCACGTAATCTGACCGCTACTGTACGTGCGCATTATCTGGTTCTAGTGGCCCTAGAGTCGCCTCAAATTCACCTCGACGGAGCCTCTCGAGTCTTCAATAACCTTGTTTAAGGGGTTGATTACCGTCAGCGCGGATTCGGATATCCGCCGTCGCTTTCTCCCTCTCTCTCTCTCTCTCTCTCTCTCTCTCTCTCTCTCTCTCTCTCCCATTCTCCTACTCTCGCGCCGTTCTCAATATATTCGCATAGTTTCTGTCCGCGGGTGGTAACAGCCCGGGCCCGTTCCGATCTACGCGCTTCGACTTGGATTACATCGTAATCCCAGCGCGAGAGCTTGACGAGCGAAGTAGAGCTTGATCGATAAACGCGCTCTCTCACGACGTGGAAGCGGGTCATCCGTTCAGCCGCGAATGCAAATGACGCTCTCTCGTAAGGAGTCTGCGACGTGGTGAGGTGTCTCTCGTCTCCCATAACGTCTTAAGATGCGAAGAAAATGCGCCACTATCAACTGTAATCAAAACTCTGTGAAGGAATTTGAGAGAGAGAGGGGGGGGAGGGGGGATTTGAATTTTCATACTTTAGAAACATTTCCGAATGTTGACAATTTCGTTTAATTAACGGATTTGGAAATAGACTCAATTATATGTATATCATTTATTGAATCCAATGGTCATATTAAATTTGTCGATTAACCTAACGCTTTAATATATTTTTTCGCGATTCACTTTTGTTTACTATCATCTAGTCATTCGATTTCCTGTACTCGTGCTTCATTTCGATACCTGTTCTGAAATTTCAATTTCCGCTTTTTTACCCCCGCGGTAAGAGCTGGAAAGCGTAAAGGAAGAGCCACGAAAGCCGTCGCTATTCTGAAGTTTTAATTAAAAGATAGGTGTGCTCGCGCTGTGTGATCGCCGCGGAGAATTTTCACCGACGTTGGGATTGTTTGCCACGAGAAGAACAGGTGGCTGTTCCGTCAAATTTTCAAGCGAGCACGATGTCGTCACTCGTGTTTATTGAGTCATCAAGCTCGCACCTGAATAAACCTGATTGGAAAGAGAAGAGATACTCGAAGATTATGGAAACAGTAGTCCATCTCGATGAAAAAAACGGAGACAGGGCAGAATTGGAGGAAATTGAATAAATTTTCACATTACGTGGAAATTTTTATTCTAATTATATATAGGTAAATGTAATTTAAATGGAGATGGCGTGTAGTTATTAAGCGAAGTCTACGGAATAATCGTGTATTGATAATGATCAATTTTAACATTGAAATGGACGAGGTCTACAAATTACTAAAAGTGCTTCAGATACAATAATGTATAACTCAATATTAACTAGCGAATATTAACTAAGCTTTTATCTGACAATTCCATCAAAATTGAATTACATAAGCTAAAACGGAAAATAGCATAGAATCGGTAAATGAAAGACATCGTCTAGGATGAAAAAAATACGACAATAGCGTATTATATAATGAATATACTTATGGATATACTGATTGCAGTCGGGAAAATAAAGTTAGGAGAGCGGATAGACGGAAAAGCTCGGAAAAGGTCCAGCTTTTGTTACTTCAAGAATTGTATAACTCAACCTTGCTATCCAAGTTAAACGGCAACAGCGGCCGTTGTAAAGAGATCGCGTTTGAGAACAGAAAGAAAACAGTATAAAGGATCAGAATTCGTACACTTCCTCAAAGTTATAAATGCCTCGATAAGTTTGAAGTTGATATATCTCGTTAACGAAAATTTTAAACTCAATTGCAGAATTGCCAAGTGCCGAAAATGAAATGCATCTCTCTCTTTACAAAAAAGGCATAATAAAATCTTTCCTTCTTTATATCTAAATGATATTTATTTAATTTAACATAAATTAATTATTTATTAAATTCTTTTGTGATTACAAGCAATATATAATTATAAAAATTTTAAAGAACGATGTAGTTTTATATTAATTAAAATATAATCTAGAAAAGTAACTTATAAATTGCTCTGGAATAACGTGTAAGAGAACCTCTAAAAGAAATATAATAATTTGTATTTATTGTGCGAAGATTTAAAAAATTCGTAGAGGATGGCATTGATTCGTAGAAGATAAAAATGCTTAATAGGTTTTGAAACTAAAGCTGAAAGTAGATCCGTACAAAGCCCATTTCTACATTAACTAACGAAGAAGCAAATTTCTTACGAGAATACAACGAACTTACATAATCATCGACGATAGTCTCAGACGTAGAAAAAAGCCGTTGCAGGAAGGAAGCTGCAGGAAAGCCCTTCTCTCGACGACACTTCGAGAGCTTCTCAAAGCTTGCCGTCGGCTCGGCTCTTCATGGCATCCTTACTTTTTTCGTCCCTCTTTCGCTTTTTGTTTCGTTTCTTTTCTTATTCCTTTTTTGCTCTCCCTATCGCTTTACTATGCACCATTTTCATCGGTACTTTCAGGGCAGATCAGAAAAAATGTTAAGAGAGAAACACGCCACGATAAGAGCATTATTTTCTTTTTCTATTTTTCGACTTTGCTATGTCATTTTAGATATCTATTTTAGATATCATTAATCTACCAATCTGTCTGCGCCGATTAATTGTGAGTTTTACTGATAAAAGATAGTAAAAGTAGAATTTAATTTTGATTTAAAATCCGATAAATAAGATAATTAAATTGAACATTTATAGATGAGGCTTAAATTGAGACACGCGGGAAGAAACGAGAGATCCGAAATGATGCGTAATAATTCTAAACAGTAACAAATTTTTCATGAAAATCTTGATGTCTCTGATTGCAGCCAGCGCCGATGTGGGCTTTGCGATCTACGACAGATACGCCGCGGAGCAGATGGGCCCTCCAGTGTCGTACGTCGCCCACCTGACGGGCGCCCTGGCGGGCCTAACGATCGGCCTATTGGTACTGAAGAACTTCGAGCAGCGACTGCACGAGCAGTTGCTCTGGTGGGTTGCCTTGGGTGTTTACGCCGCCTGCACGATCTTTGCGATCATGTACAATCTGATGCACCCCGACTATCCATGACGCGAGGTCAGCTTCGCGTACGGCCAGCCGAGGCACACGTAACGCGAAGCTGATCGCCCTTGGAAGAAAAAGAAGAAAAGGAAGAAACGAAGGAAAGGACGGGAGAGATCGTCGTCGAGCAATGTCGAGGGAGATTTTCAAGTATCGCGGACTCTCAATAACACGCCAGACTGTGAGCTAAATCGTTCCCAAGGCACCGAAGGACACATGAGGAACGAGAGTTACGCGACGGGGTCGTCGGCAGTCATTCTCCTCGAAAAACGTGACTTTGGTCACCTTCCACGCGAAAAGGATCGCGTAATAGTTTCGTAGTATATATATATATATTTTCTTCCAAGCCGGCCTGTTCGCGCGCGACAGTCGAGAGAAGCGACAGAGCGCTTGTCGAGAAGAAGCGAGAAACGAGCGAGGAAATATAATCTATTAGTATTGATTAAAAATTCTAACAAGTGAAAAAATTTCAAGCGATCGACAAAAGCAGACGTGATGTCTTTCCGGAAGGAGAAAGGGAGACGGCGCAGGAAGAAGAGAATTGAGGGAATGTCCCCACGCTCATTACGTTTCGTCTTTCCCGCTCGATAAAACGGTAGTCCGCGTTCGTAATCCCTGCAATCCCGCGAAAGTTTCTTAAACGCAACGTCGGGACTACTTCATCACGGAGGAATGCGGGCGATTTTGTGAGCGGTGTAATCATAAAAAAAAAACGACTGGTGTTCCCAAACAAAACAACTCGTGTTCTCCTGCCATCAGCGGGACAAGGAAACGTCATTGTTGTAAGATGGACATTCTTGGCCACTTGGGATAAAATGTCTTCGCGTGTCGTTCTCGAAAACGACGGAGCAGCGCACGGGAAAGTTACGGGTAATATTTTTATTCGTCAGTTTCTGGGAAAGAGGAAAAGTCACGTGAGACTAGTCGATCCAATCCCGTCGTCGCGCACTCTTCCGCATTTTGAAGAAAAACCAAAGAATCGAGCTGGATCACAACGAAGTCGGCCGGCCATTCAGAAAAGGGAAAAATCCTCAGGAAGGAGGCAGTTTCTATCCAAACTCGAACAAGAGGTATTCTCTCTCATTCGTATTTATTTCTGTGTAATGCTGGCCGCAGTCGTCCTCCGGAAAAACCAAAGAATCATACTCGACTGTGTGTGTGGACAACGCTCGTTGTCCTTTGTCACGTTGCTGAAGAAATTTCTTTGCTCGGTGACGAGAAGTAGAAAAAAAAAGGAGATGATGATAGGAAGAGAGAGAAAGAAATTGGACAACAGCGAAGTAAAGCAACAGAAGAGGTAAAGAGGAAACGGGTGGACTTAATGGATCCTTCGCGGTCGATGAAACATTGTACAAATGACCGCGACGGAGAGGTACGAAGATGATGAAACAAAAACCGCGGTCGAGAAAATTGGTAACCATCGACGTTCCTCTCGAAACCCTCTCGAAACATTCGACTCGCGAGGCGAATTTGTGGACGTGGACGGAAACGTAGAAGAGCAGAACGCGTCGAGTGTTGATGATGAAGAGCTCGTGCCGATGGAAGACTTTTTTTTTTTATTGCGATGAGTGATTAGTCGCGAAAAAATTTCACAGAGGAGAGACAGATTATACTAATTGATCGCTAATTCGATGATAGCATGAAGAATACTGCTAAATAAATTGCGCAAATAATTGCAAAGTATTCATAGAAAACAATGTAAGTATCATTTATGAAACATATGTAATAATTTTTTTTTATCACATTGTTTTTATTATATTTGTTAGAAAGTCTATTTGTATGATGAAGACGTTCGAGTTGCCACGAAGCTATTATTCTGAATCAATTAGAATTTATTTCGTATTTCTCAAATTTTTGTAATCGTATAATTTTGACGTTACAATTGTTTTCTATAGATGCTTCACAAACGTGCACAATTCGTCGAGTTTATGTACTATTTCGTATAATATATGTGAATTCGCGAAGAACCCGTCAACTAACACAAAGATCGCGACAAAGATTTGCTGATATTCGGACATATATCATCGCGTATAGGTAGATTGATCACCATAGGAATGCAAATTCACCGAGTCATAAAAGAATTCATCCAAATAGCCGTTGCATTTTTCCCGCGTTATCACGTTGTAAAGTCTCCAGAAACGCGACATGACGAATGTCACGCGAAAAAAAAAAAACATTTTCAACTTCGCGCTCGCGAGAATCAAAAACCGCCTACGAATGCAATGCCGTCGAAATGCGTACTGTATCATTGTAAAGAAATACTATTTAATATTACAGAAAGATAATATTTCGAGATAAGCATTGCACTATCAATTGTGTACATAAATCAAGCTCCATTTCGACGCGCATTGCTACTCGCGCGCTCGTGATTTTCGCAAGTGCTCTCCGCGAGCTTTCCGCATGATGGATGTAATAATGCGCAATGCAACGGCGATCAAGCCTATGACAAAACAACACCCGGCCGATCTGTCGGTCGGTTTTCAGTCGCTAGTCCGCGCTCTCGATAGCGACCGCTCGTTAACGTCCTCGCAAAATCCCCCTGACGGCGCATCTGCCTGCGCGTGCGATCATTAACGCGCATTAATTGTACACCATTGTAAATATCTTGTATATAGTATAGAGACTCTGTGTGTGTTTTGCGTGTGTGTGGAGCGTATTCACGCAAGTTAAAGGGGAGGAGGCGCGAGACAGAGCAAAGAAGAGAAAATAAGAAGTGGAAGAAGAGAATTCGAGTCGGGTCACAGTCTAGTCGTTTCGCGTCGTTGTCGTAAGTATGTATACATATACATATATACATATTGTATTTAAATTGATGAGAGAAAGAGAGAGAAAGAGCTGCACATTCTCGGGAGAGCACACGCTTAGTGTACATAGTCACACGCGAGACATATGTTCCTCACCTTTAATTTATCATCGTGTCATCGAAATCAGATCGTGCGATTGCCGCCCGCGTGACGTGCGACCTAAACGATAACTGTACCGACGATGGCCGATACCCCCCATAGATACATTTAGCGTTTATTCGCGGCCACTCGACAAGCCGGGTATTTTCATCACGCGTTTAATCGTAAACATGATTGTTTGATTTCCATCTTAGAGAGGATATTTATTTGGCCTACTATCTTCGCTGCATTAAGCAATTACGAATTAAGTTAATCAGCTATCAATTGAGTTCACGATTACACGATCGCATTCGAGCCCTTTTGAGACACAACGATAATGATATAAATTAGTAAAAAAAAAAACACATTTTTTCATAATTTCTCCATATCATATAAGAAGACAGAATTTAATTTATTTATAGAGTCATAAGAAAGTGATATGTTAAAATAGCTGAGGTTTTACAGAAGAGTTTGTCCTTGTTCCCCTCAGAATATGGAAAGTCTAACTTTGCCTGACGGCTCATTTAACGTTGAATGCGCGGTGACTGATAAAGTCCAAAATTGGAAGCTAAACGCGGCGCTGAACAAAGTTCGAATACTGCGAGCCAAAGTCTGTACAGTAGTTTGGATAGTGTCGCGGTATGTGTCTCTCTAGTATTTAGTTGTATAGGTTGTTCGTTTGTCGAGGTAGCCCGACGCACTGCCTATTTTGTAATACGACTTAGCGCCACCGTGCGCGCCTTTCGTTTCCTCAAAGTCCGCCGTTTAACACGCGACTCGTGTGTTAAATAAATTCCGTTGAATGTTAATGTGCCCACATTTTTCTACACTTCTCGCGCAATACCGCAAGGGAAGAAATCGCGTTTTATTTCGCGTATGTGTTCTTGTGTAACGATTAATTAGCGATTATACTATTATATTCCTAGCGCGCAAATCTGTATTCCGCGAAATCCTATTATTTATTTTTCGTAAAAAGAGGAATCCAGCTGTGTTGTCCACGAATCCCACGTGCACAGTTCTTCCCGATACTTTTTGGGTCTTTTTCTCGGGAAATCCCACGCGAGTGTCACGGGATGAAATGTGAAATCGTCAATTAGTCGAAACGACTAAAAATTATTTTCCCATATTTACGCGATTTAAGGTAGCGCGTTTAACGTTCGAGGGGAAAAAAAATCGAAATACTACCCGGTAGGTTCCTCCTTGTTTCAGTGGGGATCAAACTATAATGTATTTATTATTTACGTTGCATTGGTTTATATAGTGTAATAACGCTAATATACGATACCAAATAATACATAAGATTTAGTATGAAACAGTAATATATTATATTATTTTTATTAATATTATTGTTAATACTATTGCTATCGCATCTTTCGTGGCACCAAGGAAAAGTAATTTTTCGTGCTGGCGTGTGGTATGGCCTTCGATGGCCGTAAGGTGGAGTGGCCCTCGAAGAGAAGCACCGAAGGAGCACCGGAGAGGACGCGAATCGAGCGCGAGCGAGAGATCAAACGAGAGTAATTAACGATGCTAGTCAATTAGTACCCGCGAAGGCAGCTAACGCCAGGTCCTAGCTTAAGGTACGACGGCTATGTAACTCGCTTTAAGATGGTGAAAGAAGGTCGAGATACTGATGACGCTGAGAAAGAAGGGTGACATATAAAGAAGAGAGAGAAAAGGAGGAGGTCGAGGGGTTTAAGGAGGTTTAAGGATTCGAGAACACTGAGAAGGCGAGAAGAGGACGCTGAAGAGCGCCCAAAAGGTGGTTGCTCAAAGAGTCGAGGAGACGAAGGCCGTTGGCTGGCTGGCTGGCTAGCTATGTCAGTCGACAAGTATGTACTTGGCAGAAGAATGCAAAAGGGGAGCAAAAGTGACGTTCCTAACAGCGGGCGACCGTATCGTGCACGTGCACGGCTCTAGATGCTTCAATTATCGAAAGTACGTAGCACATACCGCAAGTATTTCCAATCGCCGGCGCGAAAAAAATGTATACTATTTATTATAGCGCAAAAACCGAGATTATCTTTTGTAAATTCTACTCGTACAATTTGATCGCGCACAACGGATCTACATAATAAATAATAAAAAAGGACTGAAATAAATTTGGAATTAAATGCATTAATACGCAGAGAGAGAGATAACTTATCTAATTAACTCATCGAATAAATCACGTGAAGCAAATTAAGGTTTTTATCTTTTTTGTGCGCATATTTGCCGTTATTAAGTCAATAAACGTTGCTTCTGTTGTTCCGCTCGTAAATAAATATAAATTATTAAGCGCACAGGGCAAAATTATTAAGTTTATATCGATAAATCGAACGTGATTTTCGTTATGTATATGTACAGCCTTGTTAAATATTTAATTCGATTTGCTCCATAAATGCGGCAACGATTTCAGTTCTTTTGAAGTGGTCCATACCTTTCATAACGCTCGATCGATCCGAACTTCCATTAATTACCCATCGTTGTTAACGATAATTTATGCATCGATGAAATACAACCCCGGCCAAAAAGAGCCGCTTTCCCCAGGAAAATCGAACAGGTGTCGATCCGCCGGCTATTAACATCCAACGGGGAAACATATAATTTAGAGACTTCATACAACATTTATGGCGTATGATTTCCATTTTATTAATCCACCGTCAGGTTAAATGACGATGCCAAAGAGCACGCGCGACGCATAATTATTTACACACGCACGTATAACTCGAACGTGGGAATGAATTATACGTCGTCCGAAATCCCTCGCGTAAATGACCCGCATAATACGTACCTAAATACCTCGAGATGATACTTTCGTCAATTGTACGACGGTGTGGACTTGAAACCGCGTGAAGAAAAAACCGCGTGCGTACAAATGATCCTGATTCATACAGAAACTGCTATTACATCGATACTATAATATTTCGTTGCCGACGAAAGAGGATTTGTCTTGGTAATTTTTTTTCAACATCCGAGCGATGTTGTACCTTGCTCTTTTCATGAGAAAACGCTCTCATCGTGAGCGAGCCTCAACGAACAAGCATCAAAGTCACTTCGAAATCGGATTTTCTTATCAGTACACATCTGTCACCCTTCCGAAAGCGTCATCGGATTTCCGGTTCGGATTGTCCAGTGACCCCGAAAGAAATGAGAAAAACAACACCGGGAAACCAGCGTCTCACTTGAAGCTATCTGGACTTTAATTTACGCTCTGGCACTCGATCCGCGCCCGAAAGCTCCAGCTTAGGTCACTGTATTTTCTTTTCTTTTTTTTTTGTTTTTTTTTTTTTTCGTTTTATAAAAGGGTGGCGCGCATCCCGCCCAAGTGTAAGAATTGCGTGCGCGTGTGCGTCCATATGTGTTAATATTTAAATAAAATGTGCGCGAATATTATGTTTGTTCGCAACGATCGAGGATCGTGAAGTCTACGTTGGAGCGCAATTAAACTCATTAGCTTAATTTCGTATCATATGTATCGTAATTGTTCCTACTTTAGTTTATTTCTCTGTAACTCTGTGATGTGTATTTAAATGAATATATTACCGGCGCTAAATTACGATACGTTGCTGCCGATTCTTTTATATTTATACGTATAAATGTTCATCCTTCTCAAAGGCCATCCGGAGAGAAAAATTTCATAAAGCACATTTCTCTATACCTCGGCAATTCGTTTGATGCGAAACTAATCCGTAGGCAAATTTTCTCTTTGCCAGCCGCTCTTTTACAGTATAGTTTCGTTAAAAAAGAAATAATAAGTCAATGAGTCAAGTATGTTAAGCTCATCCTTGATATTTGAAGCGAGGATTTGAAGCTCGTGTATCTGTTATGTATCGATATACGTCAATCGAAACGATCGCATAATAATTTAACAAATAATTTATTATTGTATTGTATATAATATAGTTGTTATTATTATTTAATTAACGTGAAAGAAAGCGTGAGTTATGTACAAAGTACCGAGAGTGCGCCAAGAACCGAGATATTTTGTCGGATTTTATTGTTATATTTCGTTTTTTCGCGCCGATATCGAATAGCTAAAGCGATACATAACGGGTCCAGCGGAAAGCGGCGCGTGCGTTTTATCCCGTACCGTCTTTATTTTTTTTTTTTTAAGTCCACTGACTATGCGATCTTCGATCGAGTGATTAAGCGATCCGTTAATTTTTATATTGTGCGTGTCACACACTGTCATTAAGTATTATTTATTGGTGAAAGTGGAGGGCGCCCGTACGCACTTGTTCGCGCGCGGAGAAACTTCCCAGTCTGTCTGTTCGTCATTTCGTTTTATTTTTAATTAGCTCGCTTAATACAGCAAAGGCGCGCCGCCGCATCACAGACGCACCTGCGACCCCGGCAACACCTGCGACGGTCTCGACAATTTCGGCGAGACCGGCGTTCGCTTGGGATATTTTCTGAAATTTCATCATTAACCCGCAACCGTATTATTAGCACTAAACTTACATTAATTTTGCGAACGCGTGCAAAATATTAAATGCCGTACGAATCTTCCTAATTAGTTCTATGCAATGTAGAGCAATCACTACGAACGGAAAATATAGTTGATACCGTTCAACAAAGACCTTACGTTTATAAATAAGTTACCATTGGTTTATTAACTTTTTGTATGCGACTTTATGTAATAAATGAAAGATATGACCGCTGTAATCGATTGTAAAGTTACCCGAGTAAAAAAATGCGAGTAAATTTAAAATGAGTGAATTAATCAAAGCAATTGTCAGAAGCTTGCGTTCGAATACGACGAATACGATTAAATGTAAAACTGCGAACGATTTTATGTATAAATATGTTCGAGCAAGTAGTGGTCGCGCGATTTCTGTTCTGCAATGAAACTCCATGATGTCCGATCACGAGCAATAAAGGTCCAAAGACGCGCAAGACGGACTGCATGAATACACAACTGATTTATTAATAAAATAGTAACGTTAATAATTTATGTTATTGTACGAAACAGTCACAACTGTACACAAGCCAAAGAGGTGGAACTAGTAAAGGAGAGACAGAGAGACAGACAGAAAAAGAACATTATATGTATGCGTGCGTGTATGTATGCGAGAGGAAGAAAAAAATTTCAGGCGTTTAATATTAATTATCTTCATCGGACGTCATTTGTCATTATTCATCAAAGCATCGCCATTGTCATTCTTCATCATTTATCATTGTCGATGAATTAATTATTATTCTTATAATTATTCTCATCATTATTGTGTATCATTATATATATTCATATATATATATATATACATATTGTACAAAACGTGATAACTACGAATCCTCGCTTAGATAATTCGCATAGTAATTTTCTGTACACACATTCGCCGCGGCAGAGGAAAAATACAATGATATTTAAAAGATTCACTTGACATTATTTTTTTATACCTATGAACAAACAGAGAGTATCTCATTGCACAAGTCTAGACTGAAAATTATGCGATTTTTTTAGCGATATAAAAGAAGATAAAACTTCGTCAACCTTTAAACATCTGTGTCTCAACAGTAACGATTGTAAAAAACATGTCGATTTGTTACTGTTGAAATAAAGATCTTTAAATATCAGTCGATTTTTTGGCATTTTCAATATTTCTTTCCCTTTCTTTACTCAATCTTTATTTTCAAATTTTTTTAAAATGTAAAGAATATTATAGTCTATATGTATATAATTATACATATATAAATAAAGAAATTTAATTTTATTAAAAATATTCTGCTGTTTATTTGCAATTAGTAAAACGCGATCGATATTATATCACTATAATTTAACTAAACAAAAGTTATTAATTTTGTCAATATCGTGCTATTATGTCTTTTACAAGATCTTGGAAAACGTATCATTTGGAAAAAAAGATAGTGAAAAGTAGAAATCTACCTTGCGCACTGTGTTATCGTCAGTCGATTCAATTGTTTCCGTAAAGTATATTGAGACTTACTCGTATCATAAGCGAATAAGAGTTTGTTTATCCGTAACTAATATCTATTTTTATCAATGTAAATTAACTTTAATCTCAGTTTAATTTACTCTTCGTCTCTTTAAATTCTTAGAATTAGAAAAAAATAAATTAAACCAAGATTAAAATTAATATATACATTGGTAGAAATGGACAAAATAAGTATGTTTTTTTTTATATTTTATTTTTTTATTTACATACTTTATTCAATTAGAATATATGTATCTTCAAAATTAACAAAGAAAAAATAATTGGTAGAAAATAATGAAACTTATGCTATGTAAAATTTCAAAAAATTTTCACGAATTCCAAAAAATGTAATACAAAAATTTCTTTAAATATTTTAAATTAAAATATTTCGAGATGAAATTTAAATTCTTGAAAACTGAAAATATTAAAATATAAAAGAAACAAAGTGAAGTGAATTATAAGCAATTCAAGCATTTTAATTTCAAAAACAAGAATTTTGTTATTTTTTCCTTGTATTTATAAGTTATGAGAAGGTCTGTGAGAATCATATATGTAACTTTAAATATCGACAAGATATTAAAAGTCAATAGCAGAGAGAAGCTTATAGTGGACTGTTTACTGGCGCCTCTACGTGCACAAAGCATGCACGTTGAACTATGTAGCCACGGATATATATTTCTGGTTGATAACACATTCACTATCTTCGACTTTATTCCGTGTTATGTATATTGTTTATCCAGATAGTACAGAGAATTCAAAAAGAATTCAGTCGTATATTATCAAATTTGAATAATTTTCAGATGCAAGAAGAATTCTTTTTCTAAAAGTTCTGAAAAAGAATTTTCTTGGCACCTGAAAATGAACTCAAAATTGATGACATACAATTCAAATAAATTCTTTTCGAATTCTCTGCTATCTGGATGATTTTATTCTAAAGTTTTCTATACACAGAATATAATTATAACAAGGTGTTATAATTCGATATCTCGAATAAATGACATGAGATCCAAATAATAATTTTTACACGCAATTAATATATATTGCTATCAAAATAAATATATCAAATTCTCGTACACATTTATTTTTTATGGTAACAGATCTGTGAGAAATTTCATTCATCTGCAGTCATATTACACGGGTGTAATACATAAATATACATCTAATACAAACTTTATATGAGAACCTAATCGTCTAATACAAATTTCACAGATTCGTTACTCTATTAAAACATTTTTTTTACTCACCAATCCGATGCGCAACGGGCGGAATCATCTGCCACGAAGCTACGACGATACTAAAACATAAACAAGATTTTATTTAAAATAGTGTTCAAAATGATCAACCTTTCAAAAGATAATTCTTAAGCGCATCATATGTTTTATTTATTTTAAAATTTTTAGATGCATTTCTTTTTCTCTAACTATTAGTTTACTGAGATAAAAAAACAGTTCAGATAAATAGGAAAGAATTATTAATTTTATACATAATTTATATTTTATATTTTATTCTTATAAAAAATTATAATTCACCTCAAAGTTGTTCCGCCGATGCCCGATGCCTCTCCTAGGCCTTCTCCTCCTCTCAGGATGGATCTCCTCTCAATCGCTAATGTACAGACGAACATATGGATAAACACAAAATTAATGGCAAAGCGGCGCAATTCGTCCCGCAGTCAGCGAAACAAGCGTCGCGGCGACGCGTCGGCAGCGGTGGCGACGGGCGGCGGTGGCACGGCGACGCTACACGTCTTGATTTTCGGGCTTTTCGATCGAAATACGCATCCGAGCGAATCAGAGCGCGAGTGCCAGACCTATATTACGCGAGTTAGATGCAACATTGATACTTAAAGGCTGATAATCACTTGTCAATTAAAGGATTCGCGGCGTCACTCGAGTGCTTCGTTTCCGATGCGGTGAACGCGTCAAAAGCGACGCGACGCGCGGCGTAGTGGCGTCACAATATTTAATCAGAGATAATGTCAGAGTTAACGTAGGATTTATTTTGATCGAGGTGCGACGTCCTCGTCGCGGAGGCGACCCACCGTGTCCACCGCGTTCTGAAAATGGAACGTATAAATATGGAATTAATATAGCAAAGCGACTTGGTATCCCGCGCGGTTGATTTCGCGCGCCAATAATATTCTCGGATCTCCGACTGTAATTGCACCTTGTACATTTAACTTGCATTACAATGCGAAATAACAATGAAAAGCGAGCATATATTATTTGTATATCAAAATTGCGACGTCAAGACGACGCTACGCTGCGCCTGCGCCGCGGTGGCGTTGCGCGTTCCGCGTCGCAACTCCCGAACTTCGAGAAACAGATAATAGATATATGCTCGCTTTTTGTTGTTATATTTCGTGTTGTAATACAAGTAGAACGTGCGAGATGAAATTATAGACAGAGATCTGAGAATGATTGTCGATTATGCGCTCTATACATTTTCGCTATACACTCGAGTAGGTCTTGCAAAATACGCGCGGTCGAATTTATTATTAAGTATCGACTGTACCTATACAATTACGCGAAAATTGAATAGTGCAATTAGTTATATATAAGTACAAAGTTAAATGGGTTTTGATTACCGTATATTTGAATCGAATCGCAACTAATATTCATTAGCCAGAGCCGATCTTTTTCGTGTCCGGCCGGTCCGATGGCACGCCAAAAAGTGACGCACAAAAACTGCGCGGGGAGCGCGGGGGCGCTAGTTTCGCGAACGCTAGGTAGTGCGAAACTGGTCACCGTTATGAAGGGGCACTTGGCTCAGCGCTTTTCTGTACGAAAAATATTATGCGGCGCATCATAACTATGCATCCAGGAACATATCCAAGGGGGAGTTTGCGAGATTCGATCCCCCACACCGAAATTTTTATTCAATTAATACAAAAAATTTCTATTTATGCACATTAAGTTAATAGAATTGATAATCCCTACCCTCCGCGAAAAAAAGTTCTAAGCCCATGAATGCAATCATGATAAACTTGGTAACTTCTCTGCTTACTTTTTGAATGATTACTTTCTCTATCAAGGATTTAAAAACATATTGTCATATTTACAGCCCTAAATATTTAACGTAACCAATTTTTTAATGGACAGTTACAAATTAATCTTTTCTTAAAGTTCATTTACAAAACTGATTAAAAGATACAGTTTTATAAATATTTTTCTTTTAAAGCTTATTTTGCTAGAAGATCTTTATAAATCGTTAATTATAGAAATTTAATAGTGTGCTATGTGTTGTTCGTTTTAATTTTTAATTACGCTTGTAATTTGCTATATTTTATTAACTTGATTTAATGATGCTAATACGTTCTATGATACCGGCGCTATTAATTTTAAATTGGTGCTCAAATTACGTTTACAACTTGTCGTGCGCAAAGCAGATTATGCAATTATAAAATATAATAAAATTATGTTGAGTTTTTAGCTTTAGGAGAAGGGGAGGTGGTGCGTTATGATTTCGTAGAGAAAATAAAGGATGTGATCGCTACCAACCGATACGAGCAAATGTATAAAAGTTTATATACGTTAAGAAAAAGATATTATATATGCTCTCAATATATAAAACATAATTTATACGCAATAATTATAGATGACAAAAATTTATTTAAAAGATAAATAAATTAAATGTATATCAATATTAACAAATTATTGAAATTTCAATAAGAGATGAAATGAAACGAATTTTCTACATTACGTAGATACCTGCTAATATTGATATTGCAAGCAACCATTATAAGAAATTATAATGAACTTCAGAATTATGACACATAATCATATTAAATATATTATACATATAGAATTTTTTTTAATACTAATTAAATAATACACATAATTTAATATTAACTTTTATTCATAAATGTACAGAGACTGCCAGCCAAATTTATATCAATAAATACATGTACACAATTAATTACTCTCTTCAGTGATTACAAATTAAACAAAGTATAAAATATTGTTGAATTTCTTCGATACAATGAGTGCAGAAAGAACGTAGCGACGAGACACGTTTGTTCAAAATTAATAATCTATATAGCAATACATTTCTTTCGTACTATATAAACTTTTAAGTACAATCGCAGTAAATAGATATATTTATTTTCATGCAATATAACACGTACATTATGTTAAAGTCACAGCACCAAATAAGTATATAGATTGAATTAGCCGTTATACAATAAAAACTTGTCACAAATTAGTCGCACAATTTATTGCTTCTACACTTTCGCTTTTGTCCGAGAGACATTTAACTTCGCGGTTTTTAAATTCCAATAGGATGTAAATTAAATAAATTACTGATATCTCACACCAAGCGCATGATCCCACAAATCATTTTTTCTTATTTTACTTTTTACAAAATGCCGTAATTTTCCGATGATCGCATTAATCAATAATTGCTCATAAAACGAGAAAATCACTCTGTGCAGCTGAAAAAAACTAAAAGATACAAAAGCTTCATGCAGTCATAGAAATTCAATATAATTTATATTATATACAAAAACTCGGCAGTTGTGATGTGTTAATTGATTTTAAAAAAATCAGAAGAATAGATTACAAAATTATAATTCTAGCGAACTTTTATTTCGGATGATACTCATTGTCAGTCGAAAACATTATACAAAATTGTAAAGTGTATTTATAAAAAGACATTGCTCGTCAATTTCGTTTTAATTACCGATTTATCACGAAATTTCTTTTTGTTATATCTAATAGGATTGTAAAGAATCTCTATGATCTCCGCGAATTCACTATGATCATCCGGGAAGTATCGCCACGTGGAAATCTCGCGTCCCTATTTGGCACGTGTCTCGTCGGCTCCGCGACGGGAAGTATAGAAGGAAAGTGAGTGCTGATATGACGCTGATGGACGATCGCGTGATCACCACGTAGGTGTCGGCTGACCGCGATCGCTTTAGAGGCGAATACCGCGGTTGGTGCTGGCCACGTAGTTGAGCAACTCCTCAGAGTCCTCGCAGACGAACGGCTTCTCATGGTAGCACGCGACGTCGTGCCAGGCGATGCCGTCGTTGTAAACGTTGTTCAGAACGGACAAGCAAGACTCGTTGGTGCCGTTGATGTCATACTCGGCATTGTCCGGCTGCCTGACCTTCTTGTGGCCGGTCTGCGACCACGGATTGAAGCCCCAACCGCTCGGCGATTGGTTGGTGGGTGCCATCTTCTCGCGATTCGCCGACCAGAACCAGCCGTACAGGGACTTGGGCTCGAGGTCACGTCGATTCTCGCAGCCCTTAAAGTCGCAGAGACGTCCGGACGTCCAGATGTAAGGAACGTCGTCTGAGGGGAAAGAATAGAATTTGCATAAAATCGATTGCTAGAAAGAAGACGGAAAATATTTCCAACGTAAATTTAACAACAGCTGTTAAATTAGAAACTTTATTTGTTTTCCCAAGGTCCAATATAATCCGAGAAAGTTTGTATAATCTAAGTTAGCTTTAAACTGCAATTTAATAAGTGGCTGCTATTATTATGGCTACTATTATTAAACGTGAAACAAACTTTTAAGTTAAGTACACACTTTCGTGACAACTTTTATTACTGTTAGAAATCAAAACATGATGAGTATTGTCAAGAAAGGAAAGAAGAATTTTTAGACTCAATCAGCGACGCTAACTTATAATTTCTTAAACAGTTTTAAATTTAAAATCAATAGAAAGGCTCTTTTGAATAAAACTAATAATAATATTAATATGAGTTTTAGAGTTATTATTGCTGACAAATCTTTAACAAAGATCCAATATTGATCGCATATATGTATAAACAATACATTTATAAATAATAAAAAGTTCGAAGAAAAACATTTCGAATACCGGTTTTCTGTAGTGTCTACAACGTACAATTACAATCAAGCAATTTGAAATCGCATCAAATTTTCAGACAATGCTAGTAATGAAAACGCATATACTATTTTTTTATAATTACGAAGTCATACTGTTCGTGATCAGTTTCTTTTTCAATCATAATTTCTTATTAAATCGAAGTACAATAATTATGGAGAAATCACCCTAAACTGTAATTCAATGTACGGACTGCGAATTTTGAAAGGTCTTCCGAGCGTACTCGTATAATTAAACGAAACGGCTGGTCACGTAGTATCTTCGAGCGAAATCAACACGGTGCCATCTTACTTTCGCCGGGCTGCAAAAAGATTCATGCACCGCGCGATGCTGTTATATAAAAAGATGAGAGTCTCTAGCCTCAACCCACTTCAAGACCCCCGCATTACCTTGAAAACTGTCGTTACACTCACCGACTCGCCTCCCACGATTCCCCGTCGTGATGAATATCGTTCGTGATGAGCAGGTATCATCACCATTATCATAATTGCGGTTAGAGGCGACAGTGAAATCCGACAAATGTTCCGGCAATTTGTATTAATTCGTGGTTATTGCTTATTCAATTTTCGATCCGTGTGATCATGATTGACATTGCGGTTAAATTTTCCTAGGTCGATGAATTCATTCCTCGGTTAATTATTTTGGTTTTCAATCAATAGCTAATCAAGTTGTACGCGTCGTTAGATGAATCTTTAATTGTTTTCTCTAATCGAATTTTCAAATTACAAAATAAGATAGAAAACAAATATTTTTAACGGCCAGATATATAATATCGACAGCTATTTACCACAACGTGCACAATTAAATTATTCAAGTTCAACAAACCGTTTTAATGCTAAAGAAAAATGAGGAAGAAGCAACGTACTAATAAAAGTAAAAGCTGCTAAGTCGTGGGTAAGACCCTTCGATTAATTGCACTTTCGGTTCAAATGCGCTTAAACGCATCGCGCTGCAGCCAAAAGGTCGTAATGAAGAGAGAAGGCGAGAATAAGAAGGAAGCATCGTCGTTAATCATCCGAATCGAAGACGCGGTGATGTTCCACGTCGGGTCGCTTGTTTCGAAATACTGCCGAATGATTATCTTGCGTGGATGAAAGTTGCTGTGGTAAATCGCTGTACCGGTGTCGATATTTATGACTCGCTACCATCGTCACCATCACGGTTGTATGCCGTGTGAAAACTTTCTAAGCCATTCTGTCAAAGGGACGAATGAATTTACTCTTTTCGATCCGAGGGAATTCGAGAATTCGTACTCCCCTGTTCTCGTAATGAATGCGCTAATAAATTACAAGTGAAATAAAAGGAACTGAATCAGATAAGCGATGCTTCGTATTTGCTGTCAATCGAGAGACGTAACCAAAAGATGATATTCTACTAGGCATTTATAGATCAAATTATAATAATTATGTAGCTTCTAGAAATCAGTGCACGTACACCAAGATATTTAAATTATTATAACAGAAAACTCAATTAATTTAATAAAGCAATGTGTACAGATTTAAGAAATTCTCGTCGTGAATAAAAAATATTTTTTTTTTGGTGAGGCTACATGCTTACAAAAATTACTTCAGCTGCAAATACGACCTCGCGGTCTTCTTTGTTCATGAACAAAAACAAAGCCGTTCCGCCGTTTTGTCCTTCGATCATGCATTGATCTTTAATTTGCAATGTGGAACAGTAAGAATGATTCACAAAGGATCGACGCGCGTCGGCACGTTTCATGAGAGTTTCCGACCATCGCGCGAGATAAATTACTTACTCTGCTGGATGAGCCTAAAGATCATATTGTTCTCTTCTTGGGTTTCCATCGAAATGAGATCCATACAGTATTCCCTGCAAACGTTTCTAGCGTCTAACCAGTCCACCTTTTGATTGGCATGGGCCGGCACGTGCCCGCTGTAGAAATAGTTGTGCCCTCGGAAGTTAAACTGCTTCGGCCCTGTAAAGCGTTTTTTATTACTAAAAACCATAAATTTTAGTACTCTACTTCTGTAACTCAATCTTTTTTTTTTGCTGTCAATAATTGAAGCGCGTTTGTACGTTTTATTTCTGTTTTCAACAGAAGGCGAGAGATTCAAGAGTTGGATAAGAAACTGAAGTAGCGTTGTATCGTGTCTATAAATGTGAAGAGTATTAGCTTCCCTATTATCATCGCATTATTCATGGAGGTGTCACTCGAGGCTTTGCAGAAAGAATGGTAAATCGATGATTATATCAGACCTCGCAATCGCGCCTTTCTTTCCTGTTAACAGATTCTCGATTTAATTCTCGGTTAATAGTTCAGGGGTCAAACAGCTGTTGCGATAGGGTAATCCGCAGATCTATCACTTCCCGTGAGACCAAGAACGTGTCTGGCTAAAGTCGGTCGTCTCCACTTGGTCGTAAAAAGATCAGTCTTATCCACTTGAAAGGTCGAAAGATCCTTGCAGAAAAATGTCCTTTTCAGTTCCTCATCAACTATATATATATCAACGTCCTAACATATTTAAATAGTCTCACCAAGCGCGCATAACAACATATCAAATAATTTTTTCCTCGTATTTTAATTCTTACCTCATTTATTAGCGTCGTATATATACAGTGTTAATTATATTTTGTGTAATTAATAAAAAAACAAAACTTGTTTGTCTGAACTTTTTTTCAAAGATTCTACAGATATACGCAAGGATAAGTAACTGCTAGAAATAAATATCAATCAGAACAGCAAACAAGAATATATTTCTCGATCAATATTGGTTTCAGAATACACGGCGTGTAGTAAGAAATACAATTTATAGAAGAGATATTTTCCATAAATTCAGGAAACTGACATACAAAATACGGTATAATGTCTTTTCTTATTTGAGTTATGAAAAAAAAAAGCTTACTAACTCAATTAAAAGACCTTCCACGATCTCATGTGTAGCATTTGCCTACGTTGCCGCCGCATCGACGCGGCCCGCTATTTCTCTCGTACGTTTCGCAATTTTCTCAGCGTTCTTCGCGTCTACCACCAAACGCTACCAGGCACGGATACACGTTTCGTCCAGCGCGCTCAGTCGGGACCGCTGAAGCCAACACGTTGTTTTATTCCGCGGGCAGGGAATCTGTAATCGGCAGCGGCACAGCGGCAGCGCATCATTATCATCCGCTTTAAATGTCAACAGTCTTACACTTTTTCCCGGTATTTATGCAGATATGCCTCTCCCCGTCGACGATTTACGACGTGTGTCTCATTATGAGCGCCTAACGCCGCATTACGAAACGTATACGTGCACACGTATTATCGGACTGCGTTACATGGAGCAGCTCTCTTTCTCTCTCTTTCTCTCCTTCTTGCTCTCGCTGTGACATAATGTTTTATATTCCACAGCGTGTGCGATCCCCTCGCCGCGCAAGGATCCTTCATCCTCTTTTTCAAGCCGATTTCTCGAGTCGCTTGTCCATTCGTCGTGACATTCGTAATCTATATTTGGCCGTTATTATCGATGCAATCCCGCCGGCATCGCGCAATTTTATGCGGTCTTAAATATTTGAGAAGCACACCTCTTCAAATATGTTCTCGAAAAAGGTTTCAAGACTTTTTGAAAATTTGAAGAAACTCTAGAAATCTCAATATCATTTCGTCAAAAAGATATTTTAATGAACGATAGAATATATAAAAAGTTTCGAAAAAAATTGGCTTATAAAAATACTTGTAAGAGTATATTAATATATGTATACATTATATTTTTTATTTTATATATACAATAAGAAAAAAATTGCAAAATCAGATAAATCACTACAATTACAGCATCGAATATTTGGAAAAAATATTTCGAAATACTTGTGGACGCACATTATAATCTGAAACGACGTTTCTTCTATGATTCAGAGATGTGAAAAATACATAAAAAGGTATATAATTGAGATTTAATGCTAATTAAAACGACTGGATTTGCGCGGTATCTTCATTTTTGGCAACTTGTCAGCAACGGCACTGTGTTAATTGAAATTTATTACATGGCGTTATATGTGCGTGATGTAAGAGATAGCCATCAAATTTGAATAAAACGAGGAACGATCGACTGTGTATCTCCAAGTATCTGCGCCCTTTACGTTTTACTGCTCGCACGTCCTTGCCCACATACGTTTTCAGCCAATTGATGATTTCGCCTGGTATTCGCGAGGGATTCAACACGCTAATGTCAAAGGTCGATAATGCCAATGGCGATTTTACCGCTATTTTTTATACTTGTCTTGTACAATTATAATTTAACAAACGGCCGTCCCTCAGCAGCCGCCTTTGAAGCCTCGGTCCATTTGTAAACGGAATAACACTCGACGGAAAGAATATACAACCTTGGATATCTTTCGTAAAACGGCTGTAGTTTCATACAGTTGCACGATAATAATTTGAACAATCTTTCGCGAATAAGTTATACCGATTTCTAGTAATTGCATTTGACTCGTTCATTGTTGCTGTAATTTCCGATAAAATAATAAACTGAAAAAGATACGATCAGAGAATGACGCGATTGTTACCCTTTACTGGAAAAAGCAATAGTTTAATAAATTTTAAATTGGAATGTCTTTGAACAAAGTTTCTCCGCGGATAAGTCGTGTCAGTCACCCGAGCGCTCAATTCGAGACTTCGCCGTGGAAAGGCGATTGTGTTGCAGGTATCGAGGAAGAAGAAAGACTGTCTGTCAGGATTTACGACATAGGACAAAGTCGTGATTCCCGTTGTCAGTATAAATTTAACGAAGGCTTCGCATCTATGGAAGATAAGGATTTTATATTCCAGTCGCGTCATTCTTGCCGCTCGTGGCGTTTGATGCATGGGACTTGAGTCGAATCGAGCGTTTCGTAATACGTGCGTGAGCGCTCTGATTAACAATTTCCCTGTAGCGTTTTATATTATGAGCGTGAACGTTGCTTAACAATATTTAATAGTTCCATAAATTTATAAGTTAAAAATACAATAAAATAAGAATATTAAACAATTTTCACAATCAAAAGTATAAATTAAAACTATCATAATATCTATCATAGTATAAATGCAAAAACTATCATAGTATAAATTTATTTAATACTAATTATCACAAATATGTTTTATTATATATAACAGTACACGTACATAGAGTTAGCATTTTTAATAAACTTTGATTTTTCGAATACAATTTATTTTTACTTTCTTTCAAGATACGTGTGTATACGTCACAGATTTATGTTAACTTCTCTATATCTTGTTTCATATACAAATTATTGAATTATTTATTTCAATTAGAAATATCTTTCTCTTTTACGACCATAATATCAGCAATGTCATATATATATCTGCATTTCCGCGTCTGATAATAGATAAATTGATGTATTTCGGTATCGATAATAGTACGCAGACACTGGAATATGAACAGTTATCGATGTCGATGACAATTTTTTAAGAAAATTGATGACGGATACGTGATTTTCTGCTACCTCGTGAATATTAAGAGCTCTGTTAAATAATCGTAAAATATAACGACATGTCACGTTACTTCTGATTAATGGATAGATGCTTGACTTTTAAGACTATCTTACGGGAATAATATTCGACCAGCTTTAAAGTAGTATATTTATGAATAAAACGAAACGGCATAGGTAAGAGTTCATTGCGATATTGTAATCGTTGCACTTAGAAAGCAATTTACACTTTCATTGATCGGTCACGTGAATGTTAAATAGAGAGACAAGCCAACCACGTGTGGACACGATGTCGACTACATCGAGCGGAAATCAACGTGTAAATATTATAAAACCTTGCCGTCATCGCGTGGCTATCCAGATCGATAATCTGCGTTGAATCTTGTAGTATATTGCATCAATATAATCGCATATCTGTTCATAAAAATAATATAATAAAATATAGATCAACGATAGTATATGGATATCTTATCTGATCAAAGAAATGATAAGAAATAAAAGTTAAGTTTTAAGTTCACAAAAAGAACTTTTATACGTTAGAGAAAGAAGCAAACTCGAAATGAGGTGAATAATTATGTATAAATTGTATAATCAATTAGGATACGCCCAGCAATTGTAATATCTTCTTTCTCCATATATAATCATAGAAATTTTTGATTCAGATTTATAAAAAATGTGCGAACGTTAATGTGTTCAATATTAAATGCGTATTATTAAAAAAAAAACGATACGTACGAAGAGAATGACCGTGATTATATCATTAAACGTGGCGGATTTCTTTTCTTTTACTCTCACGCAACGTGGCAACGGTGCATCCACGTGCATCGAACGAAAAAAACGTTCGCCTGTCGAGCAATTGCAATTTGCGTTGTTGTATCAGCATCGATTAAACATTTACGCTCCTGACGTGTCTCACGCGTTTGTGTCAAGGAACTCGCAATGGTAATCGCTTCAATCGTGCGAGTTGTTCACCAAGGATTATAGCGCAGATTCTAACGCATTTGACGGTCAGACAATGCATACATGATCAAACAATGCATGCGTCAACCTGATAATGGAATAACGAAACCGTAAAATTCAAAAGAATTCAGAATCATTAAAATTTTGATTGTTTTTATAGCAGAATAATATCGAATTATTACTTTAACGTTTCTCATATAAGAAACCAGGCAATGTAAAAATTTTTGAATCTTTTCAGTAAATTTCCAGTTTGTTGGAAAAACGCGGAAGAGCAAACGTAATGTTTTATTAGGACTTTCGTTTATATCACCACTTTCTATTTTTATGCATAAACGACAATTAAAATTCCGCGTTTATGTTTGACAAAGTGTAACTGCGACTTCTTTGAAGGTATCTTGAGTTAAGAGCTGTCGATCGTACTAGCGATTCGCCAGAGTCATCCAACAGTGGCGATCTGCGGCTTAATAGACAGTAAGAGCAAATTGTGTTATTTTCTACGACGAAATATATTTTTCTTGACTACGCACTCCATCCATTTGGGACGGAGAGAAAGCT